TAACTACTTATTAACCGAGAGTGAGGTCTTTACGGGAAAATCTCAAACCGAGACCTTGCCGTATATCGCTCGGTCAAGACGGCAAGGCCGAGACTTGAGATCTTCCCGTAAAGACCTCACTCTCGATTAATAAATTGTTTATTATATGGCTTTTTGCTTTGATTTTGCGAGCTCGTAATCGGCCCGTGGGCATTACGGGAGAATAATGTCCTACAATTGGCCAATCAGAGCGCTCGTTATATCGGCTACAAACACAAGCAATATAATAATAGACTTTCTAAAAGTCCTTTCCAATAATTCTTCCTGGCCTCTTAGTTTCGTCGTTGGAAAGGACTTTTCCCACTTGCAGCGCGCCAAATTTTACCGGTGGATTTTTCCACCGGTGACGTAAATACGCATTAAACAATGAACAAACAAGTACTGACTATACGTCATGACATCGCGCGCGATCAACGACACAACTCGCAGAACAAAATTAGTGTCTACTGAGTTCAAGTACTATAAAAATCTTTTTCATTCAGATTTTGTTCTCGGATATACTTAAGGATATGAATTTTATGGAAGCAATTGAATATGGTCTATCCAACTTATTTCAAGTCTTTGAAAGAAGGACAGGGAAAAGCAGTGGAAGGCTATCTACCCGACCAACACGTGTTTGTTTACTTACGGACGCGATCTGAGCTCCTGCGTGATCCGGATCGTTTGAGAGGATTAAGTTTGGACCTCTCCAAGACGAACAGAGCCGTTCCTGCAGTTTGCGAATGACCAAGTTTCTTCTCTACAAAGAAAGGGCATCGCAGCAAATTTGCATCGACCGTTTCACCGACTTCACCGTGTTGAAAGCACTCGTCGGTCGATGAACGACTTTTGGGAACAGCGCTTTTATTCTCTGCCGTTCTTTGCCACTTCGATTCACAACGTTATTTAATAAAGAGTGCTTTACAGAATAAAAGTTCTCCCCGACTAATTCCGTCTTCTTTAGTTAATTCGGATTCTTGTCGGTACAAGCTAGATCTACATAAGCCTATAGCATTTGTCTGGCAGTTCTCTGGTCGACTAAAACAACTAATTCCAGATCGGTTTAAACACGGTTTTGTCTTTTCAGGAGGCGTTAATCAATGGAAAAGCTTTTGCAATTTGTCTGTTGGCTACTTGCTGCACTGTACACAAATAAATTCATTTGAGTGAAGGAACAGTAATCGTAAACGTTTTGACGGAAATCATTTTCTGCTTTCGCGACGATCGCGCGCGGAGCACATGAAAAGTGAGAAATGTCAATCATGATTTTCGCGCCAAAAATTTACGCTCTGACTCACATTCCTGCAGGTGAAACAGGTCGACCTCTCGCGACTTACGTCGCTCGCGCTCGCCCTCGCAACTTCGTCGCATTATCGCTTCACTCGAGGGATATAAATAAGTCAAGGATTAAGAAAAGGTCGACTTGTGGCAAGTCTATATAATAAGGGAGCTTAAGAAATCCACGACGGCAACGGCAACGTCACTGATCAAAAGATTTAATGAGCAGTACAATGGCTCTGCACGCGCGTTATAATTCATGGTACATTTTTTTGCCGTCCTCTGCAAAACAACAACATAAAATGCCAAAATGCTATGTTGTCTGGTAAGCGTGAACCACGAAGGCTAATTTTTTAAAGATTTATTTCAAATTTATCGCAATTTCGTAATAGTTTTGACAGTGATAAACAAAGTAAATGACTTAAGAGTATCGTGAAATTCGTAGGTAAAATATAAAGTCATTCTCTTAAACGAAGTTGTCCTCGGCGTCGCCGTTGTGGTTTTTAAAACTACTTATATTTGACGCTCGCGCGTAGTGTTTTGCGCCTGCCTTGTTTTGTTTTAATTTCTTCGGTTTGGTGAAATGCCTATTAGTGTGCGGATGATTAGTATGTTATGGGAGCTCCGCTTTAGGCTTGGCTAAATCTATATATTAAGTCTCATGATCCGTTAAGAACAATTTATGTCATTGATATTTTGCTGCTAGGAAAACTTATGGGGGCACTCCCTTATTTGGCCTATACGGGGACAGAGTGTGGTTTTTTGACCTCGCTGTCCTGAACAGTGCATACAATTTTATTCGCCTGTGTCCTTTAGCTAAAATTAAGATATTACTTTAAAGTGTGGCGACTTAGATTTGAAATCGGTAAGTGAAGATGCTTGTCTTAGGTCTATGGGTGAGTTGTTCCACAACTGAGCTCCGCTGTACGAAAAACTTCTCTAAAGATAACCAGTTCGAGGTTGTGGAAGAACTGATTTGTTTTCGGTATTCCTTAAACGATAAGCATTTACGTTGCAACGATATACGAATCTTGATCTCAGATAATCAGGTGTCATACCATTCAATGTTTTATACATTAGGGTAGACTTCTGTTCCAATCTTTGACAGTAGAGTCTTCACCACCCTAGTGCCCGGAACAAATCATCCAAATTACCATAATAGCTTGCAGACATTAGGGTGCGACCTGTGCGATTTTGAAGCCTTTGCAGTTTTTCAGAAAGACCCTTGTTACAGTTATCCCACACTAAATAATAAAAATGTGGTTGAACAAGGCTATTATAAACTTTAATTAAAACATTAAATGGTGTGAGATACCGAATTCGTTTAGTTGCACCAATGGCAAAAGCTATCTTCTTAGAGATTTGGTATATTATCTAGCTGTTGGGTGAGTACAAAGTTTGCCCTAGAACTTAGCGACACTTTATTGCCGACACTATTAATTTTGCTTTTATTTTTTGTTTATTTTATTTTTTTTGGTGTACAGATTGGAGAATTCTTCGCCTATGACTGTTTGGTAGTTTATCCAACTTCTTAATGACTGCACTGGCCGAGAGGGGGGAGGTGTACCTCTGTAAATTTCGGATAGGTGTAAGCCGCGAAGGGTCTTAAACCCTGACCGTATTTGAGTATGAAAATTGACACCCTATTTAAGGCCCAAACTCGAAAAATGACAACCTATTCCAAGGAAAATCAAAAACTAAGAATAGCGTGAACCGGTCAGCTTCATATCTTTCTCGTTTAGCTGGAAATTTACGCATTTACGCAGCGCAATTTTAGCTGATACAATTTTAGGCCCCCCATCTAAGGATCACGCCGAGAACACAATGCCAACAGGAGCAAAAACGATTCTCTACAGTCAGGATCGAAAACCTCAAAAACCCTACCCACCCTGGGGTGAGAATTATTAAAGCTTGAGAAACAGTGACTTTGTTTTGTGAAGAAAACTTTGGAAAGAATCACGGTAGACTGCGAGCAGTCTCTCTCTTCCTCGAAAATCCGCGGGGAAGAACGCAAAACAAGTGAACGTGTGAGAACCGAGAGGCGAGCGGCGATGCCGCGAGGCGCTTCGCAAATCACGCTCGCACACTCACAACTGGTCACTTGTGTGGCGTTCTTCCCCACGGATTTTCGAGCAAAAGAGAGACTGCTCGCAGTCTAGAATCTTGCCATGTACGCTCGTTTCATGTCGAGCGTTTCCGGTACAGGTCCATCCACGAATCCTATACGGCCCCCTATAGCTTGAAAGCTAGGCAAAGTAGCAAAGTTCAAAGGATCTTCGTGAACAGAACTGACGGAAACAACAAGCAATTGGATGAAGAGGATACTCAACGAAGTAACTTGAATAGCAAACATCTATGCCTAACTGCTGTGTTACACTGTAAATGTCCTCATTCTCTTCAAGCTTACATTTGTTTTTTATTGTGTTCAATACTTGTAAAGCACGATTTGATATTGCGAAGCCCGAGTAAACGCTCTTGGAGCGTCCAGTTTTTTTCTCAATTCCCCTCTTAGTTTCCTACGAAAGTCTGATAACTAACTCTCTCCGAAAGACTTATTAAACAGAGTAAAACCATACTGCATGAGTAAGGAATGATTGTACTATCTACCGGGTACCTCTGCTAGCATTTTCAATATGATCAAGTCTCAGGTGCAGTCTACAAATACATGCAATTGTTTATTTCATTTCATCATGAAAAAAAAAATGTCAAAATACTGCAAAATCATTGAACAGATCCCGTTAAATCGTAAATTACAATCAAATATACTTACAGAAAGTATCCATTCCAACTGACATGAGGGTCCCAGAACAAATATTTTGAAGAGGAGCTTACGCACGCTAAACAAGTAAATTTTTTCAAGAAAAAAATTGTGACTCTCAGTCTGTATGCCTTTGTAATCACGCCATACATATGTCATGCGAAGACCCAGCTGTTCATCAACTGATTTGCCGTTACTTCGTATCTTTCTCGTATATTTGGCCTTTGACACAAATCAGTCTTAAGGTTAACGCGTGACTATTAAGAACAAGAAGTATATGAAAGATCATCAGTATTTGAACTACGGAGAAAGACGTGAAGGCACAATTGATCATCGCAGTTATTTAATTTAGGCTTAACAGGCTTAAACCGCCGGGGATTCGAACCCATGACATTCTACGATACCGGTGCAGTGCTCTATCAACTGAGCTCCCAAGCCAACTAGGAGCTGGTCACTTTGTGAGTTCGTAATATACCCGTACATGTTGCAGAAAACAAGTGAATATATATGAAAGATCATATATCTGAACTGCAGAGAAAGATATGAACACATGATTATTCATCGCAGTTATACAAATTTAAGCTTGAGGTCATGGGTTGGAATCCAGTTCAAGCCTGAATGTTTTCAGGCTTAAATCTTTAAGGAGCTCAGTCACGGTTTGCGCATATTGAAAAGTTTAGCCTCAATATTTCAGATTCGTCGTTTGTAATCCGTGTTAATCTTCTACATCCTTAGCCATCCTTGTTCCTTTACGGGTTTATCAATATCTCTTTGGTGCTTTTCTATCTTATTAAACTGTATTAATTTTGTATGTGGCCAAAATAACTCAAAATACCGTGACTGAGCTGCTTTAAAAGTTGTGTGTAGAACTGCGATGATCAATCATGTCTTCAAGAAGCTTATAGGGAAGCTCAAAACCGCGCGATAAAATTTAAAGTGCTTTATCTTGAATTGAGAGAAAAGAGTTCTATGAAGTAGCATTCGGTAAAATAGCAATAAAAGAATAAGTGTATTTACTGGAAAAACCAGAAGAAGCAACTGTTCGCAGTGCAGTCGCTGTTTGTGAAAGGTTAGATGTGGGAACAGTTCGATTTTTGAAGCGACAAGAAATAATTTAATCTGTATTTGTGGTAATTAAAGTTTAAATTATCTGAAATTAATAGAAAACAGTTTTGTAGTTTATAGAAAATTGTCTACCAATAACGTTTTATTTACTGAAAAAAGTTGTAATCGAGCGGTAAACAGATCTAATTTGCAAGCATCACATTTAATATTTAATTAGGACGGGTTCGNGGGGGGGGGGGGGGGGGGGGGGGCGCTGCAGCCCCCTCACCCACCCCCATAAAAAAAATGGGTAAGTCAGTTTTTTTGCATGGGCAACAAGAGAAATTTGGGCAAAGGGTTCCATTTTTTTCGAGAAATTACTGGGTTATTCAAAAACAGAAGATAACAATAATGGTAATCAATATTCAATAAAGTGAGACTCAATACTCAAAAGCAGTGCGAGGCGTTATTTTCTTAAACACTCCCAATTTTACGTGTCTCGTATCATTGATATTTTCGGCCGTCGAAATGGCGGAGACAGTTCTTTCTTTTAACGTGGTCTACTTGTAACGTGATCTATACGATAGATTCATATACAAGAATATTCTCACTGTGGATTCAAATGTAAGATTGTTTGCACTCCATATGAAGGCCTATATTAGTGATTCCTATGGCCCTCGATTGTGCTCGTTTATTTTGTGAAAATTTTTGGGAAAGTGTTAACTCCCCCCCCCNGCCTGGAAAAAATTGCCCGTACGTCACGCGTCCACGCAATGCCAATTGTTCTCGTGATTGCAAACGTGACTTACAGGCTTGAATTGTTCATCTGAAAATTGATATACTTCTATAAAAATAAACTGGTAGCAATCAAAGATGATAAGAGTGCGTTCCACGCCGACTTCCAACACTTGTTTATCGCTAAAGTTTTACATGGATATAATGGATGGATAGAATGACAAAGTCTAATATTGTCAGCACATGTAATAATCCTTATAAATTTAAGTTAGTGTGACAACCAAGACATATCACACTGTGTGACATACTATCTGGGCAAAGCTTGGCTATCACGCTGAAACTTAATTTTTCTCACGTGCAAAGAACATCTCATGTCACAGTTGGACGATCATATGCTGCTTTCATGCACACGGCGCCACTATAGTGATCCTGCAGGTTCATCCTTGCCATGTGCTTCAAAACTTAGTTTTTTTCCACTGTAGCTTGCTACAAAAAATATTCTCTCCATCCCTTCCTACCCTTGCTGGGTCCTTGGTCATATGTGACACAGTCAAATATTTTATTAAGAAATAGATGATCATCGCAGTTATACACAAATTAAGCAGCTGTGAAATTAAAGCCTGAAAAAATTTCACGGTTCGACTTGANTTTTTTTTTTTTTTTTTTCAGGCTTTAATTTCACAACTACTTAGTTGTTTATATAACTGCGACGATCATCCATTTCTTCATATCTTCCTCCGCAGTTCAAATGTATGATCTTTCATATATTCATTTGCACAGTCAAGTATTTTATTGCCCCCCTGATTGTATAGTAATATATTTATTGTCAGGTTTTAAGCATTGTTATTGTTCTCTTAGAGCTTATCAGCTCCGAGTATGTTTATTGAGCTTCCAAGCACCCCACTTTATGGGTAACTGTGCTGATTTTAGGCAAGGACAGGGAGAAGCGGGGTATTGTCAGAAAATGTTTGGTTATATGAGAATGGGGAGTTGGGTATGAAAAATCTTAGGTGTATACAAAGATTTTGGTTGGTAAGCTCTCGAAACGTAGTGATACAAAACATGAAAAAGGTAATTTCTTCAGTCCGTGAATGAACGTCACAATTCTTTAGGGCCTACTGAAACGGAGAGTTGGAAGGCTTCCTTTCGGGGGGATGGTGGTGGTAACATTTGGGGGTATATTCCAGTATGTTTGACTGCTTAAAAAGTGTTTTAGCGAAAACATCAAGTTTATAGAAGGAGTGGCATAAATGAAGTACGAATTCCGTGAGGACTAGAAATTTCTAGCACAAAATCTGTAGTAGTTCTATAATTTGTTTCAAGATAATATTACATCTGTCGATACACCTGAAACGCAGGTGTCAAAACATGGTTTTCTTGACTTTTATTCTCTGGACGTTAATTATACTCATTGTGTTGTAAAGAAGTGTTGCATTATGTTGGCTTAGTCTTAAATAAAATTACATGAATTTGCTTACTAATTAGAAAGATTAACATAACTTTACCATTAACTCAACATCAAGCTCAATGGAAAAAAATATTATTGTCGGCAACTCAACGAAAGATGTTTAGTTCTTAAGTTTTCTCGAGTGTTTATATGGAAAAGAATATTTAAAGTGTAAATGAGACCTTGATTGTTTCGTGCTAAAACGTGCTATTTTCACTTCGGCACATTCTGCAGGTGACTTTTTGGTCTACTCTGAATTTACATATTTTTTAATTATTGAGCAGTTAATATAATCCGTGACCGACTGTATTCAAGCCCAATAACGTCGCGGCTCAAAAATAGACCAAAAAAAAGAAAATAAGAAAAATGTTAGTTAACCATTCACGTTCTCAATGACGGTTATCCAAGGGATAATTTATTTAACAAATAAAGAAGCCTACGCCGTGTATTACACTGTAATAAAACATGCACGACGGGCATTTCAGAACACCAGGGAAATGTAGAAAACACGAGCCTTTCTTCATTTCTTGAGTGTTCTCAAATGTCCGGAGTGTTTTATCATAGTGTAACACACGGCTTAGGCTTCTTCATTTTCTTTTTGATGTAGATTGTACACGTTCTCTGATAGCTCGACGAAACGCGACTTCTCAACTGTTTTCGCTTCTTCTTCTTCTTTATTTGTTAAACTTTCTGCTTCTTCGCAGAGAACTCCATCACAAATTCCTTCAAAGAAAATGTTTTTCGCCATCTCTAACAAAAATGTTGACTAGAGGTAATGTGGCGAAAACAATAAAACACGCTTTTTCTAGGTTTCAAACTCCGATAAAACATGGGTTTTTGACCAATCAGAGCGCGCGTAGGGTGCTATTTATATTATAAAATGGATTACTTACGATCCTAAACAACATTATACAAAAAAACAAAAAACAAAAAAAAAGCAAAAACAGATATAGGAAAAACAACTTTCATGTAACTGCAACCTGTAAAAACAAACACCTTGATAATTGTAACATACGATAACTTTTGCCGCACTCCGTATTTACCTTCCTTTTTTACCTGTCGGTAGAAAGCCAACGCCTCAGGTTTTTTGTGCGAAACCGTAAAGAGAATACAAGAGTGCGAAAAATTGTGTTCAGCTTAATTGCAGGTTATGATAACCGTAATTACAGAAGGAGAGAAAATTGCAGGGTTGGCAATCATCTGTCTAATGTGCCTTTGACAATATAAGTGGTTATTTCTATTCATGTACATTTGACTCCCTTTTGGATCGAGGTCATGTGCTCAGTGATTGGCTAGCCTTTTTTACGAGTGGCATTCTATTGGCTAACATTCACAGTATCATAATCAACGCCCTTTAGTTAGAGCCAAAGAATAGCTCCCGGTTGGTTCAAGTTGTTCTCACTCTTCTCACTGGATTCTGCTGTTTAAAAGAAGCATTGAAATGAAGGGTTTGGCGCTGACTTCTGTTGTTTTCTCCGCGATTTTCGTGGCTGGTAAGTTCACAGGTTTGTTTGTTTGTTTGTTTGTTTTTGACCACCAATTCGTCTTAAAAAGGGTGCAAAAATATACGCGTTTGTTTGTGGCGGGAGTCACCTATCGAACAAAAGGGAACAAAGTCGATTTCGCGTCTCGATGAAAGCGAAACCATACGTGGTGGCTGATAATCACTACATCGGAGATATTAGAGGACGCACCTCATTTCTACGGTTTGGACTTCCGTCCACACTAATCCTTCACGAAAACGGAGCTTTTCGAAAATACTCTTCATAAACCGGAGTAATTTGAAAGCAAAATATTTTTAAAATGAAGCTTTCCAAAAACGATGGCCTCAGGATAATCATGTGATTTTCCTAACCGATTGTTCCTCAAACGCAAATCCACAATGACGGGCGATTGTTGCGCCTTTAAATTGCTCCGGCGGAGGAGGGAACCTAAGAGACCCGATCATAACCGAACTTACAAAACAGGAGAGGAGTAGAAGCAGCATATCAATCAACTCTGACTGAATGTGATGAACCCAAAGTTGTCTTTTATTCTAATATGTAATTTTAAAATCCACCGAATATTCTCGTTGGGTCAGAAGGGATAGAACGTGATATTTCGCGAGACTATCAATGAAAATTCGCTTTGATGCACACAAACTAATAAGAGAGTAGGGTTTCTTTATTTTAACGCGCAGATAAATATTATATATTCCAAACCAAATGAATTACATGTAAAGAAGGGACAGGCTGACCTTGCCCAATGTAATTTCTCAACACAAGGTTCTAACGTGTAATATTGGCAGATTAATTAACAGAGTACAGTTTATCGACAGTTTAGTGACGTGTTTGATGGAGCGGGTATAGGAAATGGGAGTTTTCTTTGGCTTGCTTGACATGTTAGCATTTAATTTCGAATGGCAATTTCGCATGGTAATTTCGCAGCATATTTGTTGCATAACATCGTATTTTGGCGAAATCAAGTCAAAGTTATGTCAGAATGAAATCTATGGCGCTCGTGAGCCATACCTTTGTTTTTCGAGAGTTTGGCCATCGTATTTCATTCGAAGCATGTCGAAACGAAGGAAAACACTGTGAAACTACTAACGATAATTAAACATACTAGTACTTTCAGGGAAACAACTTACCGTAAATCAATACGATTTCGCTTCAACATGCAATATCAATAATTTCGATGGCATCGAAAATGGCAGAGTCTGACAAGGGTCCTTTAAGATACTGAAAACAAATAACAAATTGCTAATACTAGGAAAATGATGAAAAACATTTTCTCAGACAAAGAATTTTTAATCAGTGCAATCAGTCTGTGTATGTAGAGATTGAAGCTGCAATTAATTATCTTGACGTACCAGTGACGGGGGCTGGCACACATTGGCAGCTTGCTGTACAATTCTATGGAGTGTCAACAACCTCGGCAGCCCTCTGACTCGCAAAGTTATGCGGTAGATCGAATTGTTGGTTCAAGCTCGAGTAGCTTAAAGACGAATCGTTAACGGAGACTGATGTTATACCAGAACCTTGTGAGGCAACATTACCACCGTCAAAATATGGATGAAAAATATGGATGAAAGCGGACACGGGTTGAGAGAGTTAGTTGGGAGAGGATAGTTTTTAAATAATTTAAATAAAATTTTTCAACACCTGTAGATAATTTGGAGTGCTCTTGCTTGGTAGCTTTGCTTGTAAATGCAAGTTTTAGTTTCCCATAGACTGTGCATAATTTTTAGCAAATAAAAGAGTCGACTCAGTTAACAGAAACAACATGGAGTACTTCTTTCCTTGCTGAAAAAAGTGTGACCCTCCCCCGGCTGTGAGGAGAAAAAAAGAAGGTTTGGCCTTCCCCAAATTTTACTGATGACCCTCCCC